CNNNTGATGTGAATAACATATTTGTCGCGCACCATCGTGTTTTGAAGCCAAATCATATACATTTAAAATAGCCATGGAAAATAGTAGTAAATAGAGGCAAAAGTGAAAAATAGTTCGACGTCTCCGAAAAAGCATGGTTTCGAACAGGACACTATCATTTGATGTGAATAACATATTTGTCGCGCACCATCGAAATCCAAAATTTTTAGAATTTTCGATTTTACGGTAATCGTTCGTTTTAAGTCAGAATTCGATTCCGTAAATTCTATATTTTTCTTTAAGTCACGAATTTCATCATGGAAATCAGATTAGGGTCACATGATGGCCCTTTATAAGCATTGACTATAGATTGGTTAAGTTTACAAGTTATGATTTCCATTTTTTATCTTTATTTATTTCTATCAAATTTTTCTACGTATTCTTAGTGATAAATGAGCCATTTTAGCTTAGTTTTGAGCCATATTAAGGTCTGGTCAAAGAGAAGAGTTTTTGCTTTGATATATACAAGAGAAATCATGCATTACAAGTACTTATCAAGGCTTAATCACCTTTGTGCAAAATTTTAGAAAAACTTTAATGAGTAGGGCCCTAAGATGTTTTTTATGGTGGAGTGTTGATGTAAAGAAGGTGATGTTATCTCCTTTGCTATTCTATATAAAGGGGGCATCATCTTAGAATCAGAATTCACACCAAATTAAGCAAAGTCTTAGCTAGAGAGTGAGAAAGAGAGAAAACCGAGAGGAGTTTTGCCGAAGATAGGTTGAGATCAATTTTCAAAAATTTTACAAGCAAGAAGAAGGTAAGGTGCTATTTTTTTAGAATGCTTAGTAGATGATATTAAGTGTCTAATGATGTTTTTATATGCCTTAAATATTCAGTTTTCAAGTGATTATAAGCATGCTAGAAGATAAGTTATTCCCAGCTCGCATGCACGTCATATATGCTCTGTTTTGATGTGATTTTGACCTAGCTATGTAAAACCTGGGAAAGTATGCTTTACATTATTATTTCTTGTGTAAATGCTGAGTATATAGAAGGAAAAATTATGTCATTTGGTTAAGTATAGCTCGAGTTATAGATTTTTGAAGTTTATCATGCAAATCAAGTTTTTATGCCAAGTTTCAGCTGCGTATTTTGAACTCGAATAAGTCAATCTATGTACATGATAAAAAATTTAAATTTTAATGACATGTCTGCTTATAGGGTAAGAGTGTGCATGCCAAATTTCAGAATTTTATGTTGAGAAATGAGTGAATTAAAAATGCTAGACCCCATACATGTCGAGCTGATTTTATTTGCGAGAGAACTCAGTCCACATTGAAGTTTTTAATGTGAAACTTTTATGAATATTTCTTGCATGAGTGGTGATCAATATCACCAAGTTTCAACTAGATATGATAAGTATGGGATTTTATAAAAATTCTTTGAAGTTATTCGTGTAATTAGCATAATTATATGTTAAGTAGCACTTAAGTTGGATGAGCTATTGAAGTGCTATTAATATGAAATTTGAACAACAAGTACATGAGTGTGCCTACTACATAAATGCCAAGTTTCATAATTTTTAGAGTTATGTGTGATTTTTGAAAAATCATGGAGTTTTGAGACTTGTTTAATTAAATTTAAATTTAATTAATTTATGAAACTTGACTTTAATG